GTAGAAATTAAGTAATCAGTAGAAAGAATGTGTATCCTACCTTTCCCTCTCTTGTCTCTGGTCACTTAGGGTATCCTCTGGGAAATGTGCACTAAGGCACTGTGTGTTCTATGCATGGGTTTTGGCTGGGTCTTGTTCGATTTTTCAAAAGTTATTTTGCCTTCACAATCTTCAGTTATCTGCTGTGTGAATTTGCAGCATGACTCTACCTTTTAGAAGGGGGAGATAATTCAGTATGTGCAAAGTGCTTTATGGTCAAGTTAAGGGTATAACTAACTGAAGTCTCAGAATGGGCACTTTGCCCTGTTTCTAAAACTTCAAGGGCAACCTGCCTATCTAAAAGCTACAAGGGCAGTCCAATACCTGTCTTCAAAGCTCTGTCCCAGTGGGAGATGGCATAGCAGCTTTGGAATGAGTTAGGACAAGCTGCAATGTCCTTGCTCCTCTCATGGTGGTGTCAGAGAAAAGACTCAGCTTCAGGGTCAGTGGGCTGTCTAAGCAGAGGTAGTACACGCACCCTGAGACCTACCTCTGCTGCCTCTACCTTCCCCACATTATCTAAACTCTTGTCTGTCTCTATTACTCTCTTATCTTGATCTCAGCTCTGTGTTGGATCTTGGCCTGCGGTCCAAATTTGAAAAAAACACCTTCCCTATAGATCTGCCCACCACTGATGGCTTGCATGTGAACAGGGGACATTCCCCCCACCCTAACCTGGACCCTGGAGGCTGTGGGACCCTCCAGCCTGAACCTGTCCTGGATGAGGAAAGAGTGCCCTCTAGTGGAATCCCGCTGGAGCCGCTTCAGACCCTTGTAGCTCAACCAAGGACCAAAATACAAAACAACCTTCTGAGGGCTCTCCAGCCAATGTTCTTGAGCTCTTGAGTGTGCCTTTGGGTTAGGTTTGTTTTTCTCCTTTTCTGAAGAAAAACTAAAGAAAGAGCAGCAGGAGAGCAGTTGTAAGAGCAACTCCAACCGTGATGTGACAGTCCCTTATCTTGAGAGTTTACCAAAGGATTAACCCCAGGGCATGCTATGGTAGCAGGTGGATATGGCCTCAGAGTTGGTGACAATTTCTCTATAAATCACTGACCTGTCTTCATGGAGGGGTAGACTTAGGAAAAGAAAACACCTTACTTCTCTCTTAAAGAACTATTCCTGTATGGATTAAATTATCTTCATGCTGTACACAGGCCTGCCAGACTGTTACTACCTTCTTCCATTAGTGGCATATACAAGGGTTTTGGCCCTTTAAAATCTGTTTCTGGAAAAGCTGTTGATCTGAGGAGGCTACAGAAAGGGGAGGGGAGTCCAGGATGCCCAATAGGGAGGTGGGAACTTGATCATTTGTGATGGCTCTGGATTAGGTAACAGCTCCGCTGGTTGAAATTGGATCTTGGAGGATGAGTGTTAACATCTCTGGTGTCCTGGAAAAAGGTTCATTTGAGTCTTGAATGGTGCTGCAGAGATAAAAAGGAGCTTTTAAATAATCATTTTGTCTCCTACTCACTAGAGTGCTGGATTCAAGCAATAAATAGGGTATCATCAGTTCTGCTTAGATATATCACCACTTTTATTTATTTATTTAATGTTGGTGGGAGTTGAAAAAAAATCCCATGGACTAAATGAACAGTTTCTGTGTCAGTGAATCCTAGCACGTTGTTATCATGGCATATTTAAATTCTCTTTGTTCTAGATAGAAAGATAAGCATGTTGTATGTGTGTGTATGTGTGTGTGCACGTGCGTACGTGCACGTGTGCATGCGTGCGCCAGTACTGAGGTTTGTACTCCAATTCTACTAAATCTTAGAAAATCCAAACCTCTTTCTAAAAGTATTTATTTAAAAGACTTACAAAATGATAAAAAAAAAAACTAGGTAAAATTCTAACACTTTTATTTGCTCTTTCCCACCCTTTTATTCTTTGAACAAAAGAATCAAGGTATGTCATTTTAGTGCTGTAAACTCTGAGGTTTTTCGGAAACTTCCCAGCAGGATGGTTCTTGCTCCAGATTCTGTTGTCCCCTGCCAGTCCTACGGTTTCCTTTCTTGTTTTATTTTACAAATTTTAAGGTCAAGAAAAGTATTAATTGGGTAGATGAGAGAGTTTGTGCAGATAATGTGCCTTTTCTCCATGATTGTGTGTACAGAGTGGCGTACAGGCACGGGTGAACGCAGCATGGGGGGGGGGGGAGAACACACCCAGTAGACAACAGGCACTTGGAAAATGGTAGTGGTCGTGTGTTCAGTCACTTGCCTATTACCTTAGAGGAAGCAGGGCCAGAAATCTGTTCTATGGGCACCATCTCTCTGTCTTTTAACCTTCTCTCATACCTGGGGAAGGGAAGGAAGGGAAAAAGAACTTTTGCCTAAGCAAAGGAGCAGGCTAAAATGAAACAATCAGTAGTTTATTGTTTTTTTTAAACTTTGTGATTGGTTCCATGAATATCTTTATTGATAAGGCAATTAAAATTCACCAAGTAAAGGAAAACATCCATTTTCTCCACATACACATAGACACACACACACACACATACACACACACCGCCTTAGTTAGCTGGACCAAGGAGAGGCTGCTGGGTTCTTATATCAAATGTAAGAAAGTCAGATTCTCCTCAGTGCCTTTATGGCCTGGGAACAAGCAATGGTTCTCATGTTCAGTTAGCTCTGTATTTGCCAGTGATGATGTGTTCTTCAAAAGGTTTTGGAGATAGAAGTCAAAGCATTCAAGAAACAGGAGTGCATGGCTTAATTTTCAAAGATCAGCCAACAGGGCAGGTTCCTTTCATTTCATGAGCCTAAATGAAGGAAGATTTCATTGGAAAAAGAAATCCACAATAGAATCTCTACAGTTATCTTTCTGTCTCACCACTGTGGCAGGTTTTTTTTGGGGGGTGGGGGGTTATTTGTGTGTTTGATGATTTTACATGTAGAACATCACCTATTCCTGTGTGAGAGACAGAAAGAGACCCTAACTGGGACCTAGAGTGTCGGCTGTATGGGGCTGTCGATTGCCTTTCTCCGCTTCTTTTTTTCTCTTCCATACTTCTTTCTTGCTTCATCAGGAAGCACAAATCAATACCCTGTGCCTTTTATCTTTGGGGCTCTTCAGTGCCACCATCAGTACACATGACACAACCTTCCACTTGACTGTCCCATGCTGCCTGAGAGTCATGCCCTGGCTTTTCTTCCAGAACAAGAGTTGTATTTCCTTCAGAGCAACTTCCAAGGTCGGTGCCTGTCATGTAAGCTGGAAACCAGGAGCATGCAGGCACAGTCAGCAGTGCTTGCTGCTTTATCCGTGACGCAGTGCCCTGAACATTGACCTGTCCCACTTGTATAGAGTTTGTATCACCATCCTTTGTCACAGCTCGGGGGACAGCTGGCCCGGTCCTTGTCCCCTGAGGGCTCATCAGATGTACCTGCCCTGAAACAGACTGGTTGCTCTGGTGCTATCCCTCCACCAGGAGAAATAGACCCTGCCAACTCTCCCCTGAAATGGGAACAAACAATGCTCTGTTCCTCTGCCAACAAATTCTTCCTCTACCTTCCTACCCTATCCAAAAGTCTCTTCAATTTTTGTCTTTAATTATTTTCTCTCAACAAAGTCTTGGCTGCTCACAAATCAACTGAATTTAGACAAGTGACTGATTTTATAGCTGATTGTGTGCAAGTAGAAATATGGTCTAGTTCTTCTGTTGGTTTGCTAAGTCACTTGATCCTTCTGAGTCCATCACGCAGAACCACGAAGGTGATTATCAACTCTCAGAGCCAGAAACAGTGGCTCACACTTGTAATCCCCTCTATTTAGGAGATGGGGATCTGGAGGGTCGTGATTTGAGGTCCACCCAGGCAAATGGTTATCAAAACTCTATGTCAATCAACAAGCCCAATATGATGGTGTATGTTCATAAAGTGGCTACCTTTTTTGGGGGGGAGGGTTCCGCTCATGGGGCCTGAACTCTGGGCCTGGGCACTGTCCTTCAGCTCTTCAGCTCAAGGCTAGTGCTCTACCACTTGAGCCACAGCACCATTTCCAGCTTTTTTCTTTTTTGCTTATGTGGTGCTGAGGAGTCGAACCCAGGGCCTCATGCATGCAAGGCAAGTGCTCTACCACTGAGCCACCTTCCCAGCCCCAAGTGGCTACCTTTTGATCTAAAACTCCATTCTACCAGAATATGAGCTGGCTTTTTTTTAATGCCTTGAACATTATGTTAAAAGCACCTTACCCCTGGTCCCAACAAGACAGAGCCTTTGTCACCTGGAACAGTTGGCTCTCCATTATTAGAGCTTGATGTCCCTTCTCCAGGACCAATTTGTTTTCCTGCTGTTCCACACTTCTGCACTGCCAGCTAGCCTGAAGAAAGAGCTGAAGCTTTCATTCCATTAACTGGATTTACTGAGCTTAAATTATTTTGTGAATAAAAATTTTAGATTAATCAACGACTAAAAAGAAAGTCAATGAGCATAAAACCACCAGCTCACAGAGATCTAAAATAAGAAATGAAGAAGGAAATGCTTTTCCTTGAATTGAAATTTGGCAGTTTGAAGACGAGAGTAAAAAGTCACATTCTGTGATACCTGCTTTTTGGTGTAACTTTTTTATTGCTATAAAACACACAAATATTAAAGTTCCCACTATTTCTTTTAAGCTGGTAACAATGGCATTAACTACCATCACGTGATTATATACTTGTCACCATCTTCCATTTCCAGAACTTTCTCCTTCCCCAAAGGAAACCATCCCCACAAAAGACTTAACCCCTCATGGCCCTTTCCCAGCCCCTGGAATCCACCCTTCTGCTATTCTAGGCAGCTGGAGCCAATGGCATGTAATTTGTCCTGAGAGCAAAGTCCTGGAGCAGGTCCAGGTTGAAGGCATCTTCTCACCTCTGGGCTCCTCTTCTCCAGCCTTGGTTAGCCATGAGACATGTGCTTTTTGAAATGTTTTGGCCGTGGGTGACTCCTAACGCTTCCTTTTTTCTTTGTCTTTCCCTCTAGTGTTGAGTATCCGGGGAGCCCAGGAAGAGGAGCCCACAGACCCCCAGTTGATGCGGCTGGACAACATGTTGTTAGCCGAGGGGGTGGCTGGACCCGAGAAGGGTGGAGGCTCGGCGGCAGCGGCGGCCGCAGCAGCCGCGTCCGGGGGGGCAGGCTCAGACAACTCGGTGGAGCATTCTGACTACAGAGCCAAACTCTCACAGATCAGACAAATCTACCACACGGAGCTGGAGAAGTATGAGCAGGTAACCAAGGCTGGGGCTCGTGGGCCCTGTGGAAAGGGTGGAACAAACCGAAAACCCGGGTTTACACACACTGGTCAGGCCAGCCTTTCCCCACAGGTGGGTGTTTCTTGTGTCCAGCACATGCTGCTGAACTGCTGAGCCCCGGACCAAACTGGAGTCTACAAAGTCCTTGGTCTTGAGCCTTGCAAAGCCAGGCATTCCATGGAGATAAAGGCATTGACAGTGTGACATGAGATGCTTTAAGATAGCTTGTATTTCCACTTAGTAGTTCTGGTTGTCAATTCCACTACTTGGAATTCCCGAAACTTAAGCCAAGAATGTACTGCATATGGTTTTCTCAGGGTGCATAGATCTTTGCAGCTTTCCTCTGGTCCTCACTTGTCCCTTATTTGGGATCATAGAAAGTTCTTGGACCTTCTGGATCCCTATAGAATATTATAGAAAAGAATATGAAAACGTGGCCCTCACACTATGCAAACTCAGCTCAAAGGAAAACCAGTTGTGTCTCCTCCGTTTTTAATGATGATACATACATTCCCAGCAGAAAGACCCAAGCTTCCCAAAGACTGTCAAAGCCAGACCAACCCAGATTCCAATCCTGTAGTTCCATTGATAGGCCACAGGACTATGTTCTGCAGACTACCCTGAAAGCTGAAGGCACATGACAAAGAGCTATGGGTTTGACTATTAAAGTCATATGTTTTTCTTGTGGTGCCAGGGATTAAACCCAAGGCCTTAAGCACGCCAGGCAAGAGTGTTACCACTGAGCTGCCTGTCAAGTCCATAAAAATCATATGATAGAAACAATAAGAAAGGCTTTAATTACTAATCAACACATAGACATAAGGTGTTTTAATAATAATACAGCTTTTCTCTATTGGAGACATCCCCCTTCCCTTATTTATCCAGCAATTCTATTGCTATGGTCACTGAGAAATGCAACTTTATTAGGAGTCCTTTAGCATCAGATGTCCTCAGATTCTATGACAGAGTTTGCTTCTAGAAGAATACAAAATTCAACGTTCGTTCCTTTAGCCCAAGGGTTCTTTTTTTAATATATATTTTTATTGTAAAGATACTGTACAGAGGAGTTACAGTTGCATGAGTAAAGTAATGAGTACATTTCCTATCGAGCATTGTTACCCCCTCCTTTGTTTTTCTCCTACTGTCCTTTCCCTCCCCACCTCCCCAATTCCTCCTCCCACCTCCCCCCCCTGAAGTTGTAAAGTTCATTTTCAACATAGTGTCTTGTACATCTCATTGTTACAATGGGTCAACCTGTACCCTTGTTTCAGCATTTTCTTATTTACCTTCCCCTCCCCATATAAGAAAAATGTATATACAAGATGCAGGACACCAGAATCAAATACAGTGAAAACAAGGGTTATACCATGGGGGAAGAACATACAAAAGAAACAAAAAACATCACATAGTACAATATAAGTACATTAAAAACTATGACATAGCAATCCCACTTTTGGACATTTACCCCAACGATCACAAACAAGGCCATACTAAAGCCAGCACAACTATGTTTATCGCAGCATTATTTACCATAGCTTAGATATGGAACCAACCCAGATGCTTCTCAGTAAATGAATGGGTCAAGAAAATGTCACACACACACACACACACACACACACACACACACACACACACACACACACACTGGAATTCTATGCCTCCATCAGAAAGAATGACACCCGGGGCTGGGAAGTTGGCTCAGTGGTAGAGCGCTTGCCTTGCATGCCTGAGGCCCTGGGTTCGCAAGTGGTAGAGCGCTAGTCTTGAGCTGAAGAGCTGAGGGACAGTGCCCAAGCCCAGAGTTCAGGGCCCATGACCGGACCAAAAAAAAAAAAAAAGAAAGAAAGAATGACACCCAGAATGACTTGGAAAAATTATATTAAGTGACACAAACCAGACCCATGGTTTCCCTCATTTACAATAACTAGTATACATCTAGGATAATATTACCAGAAAAGCAGAAAAGATCAAAAGCTATGTACATATAAGCATATAAGATGATGCTAAGCAAAACGAACCCCAAGATAGGGACACAAGAGGTTTTATTTTTGTTGCTGTTGTTTTTAACGTACTTATAGCCCAAGGGTTCTTATTAGAACATTGGCTGGCCAACCATCTTAGTAATAATGGAGTGATGACTCCTGTATGTACTGGAGCAATCAATTCATCCTGTTTCCTCCCTGGGCTAGATTCCTATGCCCAAGGCAGGCTACTGAGAGAAATGTTCTCTTCTGGAACTTCTCTGGGATACCCACCTATTCTAATTAATAAAGATGGTGGAAATTAGGAAGTTAAGCAGAAACCCCATCCATATAAACCAAATGGTAGAGGTGTGGGTAATGGTGGTGGCCATCTGTATTTATTAAACTTAGAAAGTACAAAAATGTCATCTCCTGATTTATATGGGCAGTTTCTTCTAGTGATAAAGTGAATAGTGGATAACACATCCTGGATGGTAAATAATTTATTAAAATTAGTTGTGTCGTTAATGGTAATAAATAGCAGAATGTAGGGAGATGGTGCCATTAACCTTTTAGCTAGTGTCTGAGAAATACATCTTCTTTGTTTTTCTCTAACATTTCCTCACTGGTATGTGGGGGACAGGACGGAGAGGGGTTGCTTTTTTACCAAATAGGAAATCTCAGTTAAGTAAATGTCACATGTACCTACATGAAATCACCAAGTGAATTGTTAACCAGTTGATTCTGTTGTTCTTGTTTTATTTTTTAGTATGATGGCAACAGATAGCTACACAATAATTAGCTATCATAGCTCCACTCACCCCTAGTCCTCTTCCCCCCCCCACAAAAAAAACCCTTTCAGAATTAGGCAGTGTTTCATCCTGAGGTTATTAAATGAAGAAGCTTCTACAGACTTTCATTAGAAAAGAAGGAAGAAAATTGTCTTATTCATTAAGTGGGATTGGTAAAACACTTTTTCAGCACATCAAGTTGATAGCTAAGAGATTTAAGAGCGAGCATATGCTAGTAGATAAAACCATGGTGTCAGGACCTGGAGTTCTATTCTAAGTGCTGTTTATAAAAATGATCCTCTTGTCATGTGGCAGGGTTCTCCAGACTGTGTAAGTCATGTCCTTGGAGTATTGACAAGGCTAAAGCACTCGTGCTGAACTGTTCATTCAGTTCAGCTAAGAGAGCTCTGAGATCACACTTACTACCGTGCATGAGATGGGTGCAAGATCTACTTGGACAGAGCCAAAGGTGAATACAGGTTGTCTAGCCTATGTAAGCATACCTAAACTTTGGACTCTTACAATGTTGTCTACGAGGGCTTCTCTTTTACTTGCTGTTCCCCAAACTACATTGGGTCAGGACATGAGATGTTTCCTTTAAGATACCTCTCTGCCCAGCCAGACATAGTGGCTCTTGTCAATAATCCTGGCAGCTTAGTGGGTAGAGATTGGGAAAATTGTAGTTCGAATCTTAGACAAAAATGCTTGTGAGACTCCACATAATGAATACCACCAGGTATGTGCCTCTTATCCTAGCTAAATAGAAAGCACTAGTGGGAGGATCCTGCCAAGACCTGGCATAAATGCAAGACCTTATTTTTTTTTTAAAAGAAAGAACCAAAGCTTAAAGGACTGAGCATAGCTAAGTTGTAGAGCATCTACCTCGCAAATGGAAGGCCCTGAATTCAAACTCCAGCCCCACAAAGAAAGAGAAGAGGAAAGGAAAGAAAAAAAGAAGGAAGGGAAAAGACGGAGAAGGAAATGTCCCTGCTTCATGGGGGCATCTTGGCTTTGCAACATGGCTCTCAGAAATCTTCATCCCATGAGGATTCTAACACTTTAATCTGCCACACTTGGAACCCTTGGCCTCACAGAATCAACCCAGCTTCTGCTGGTGCCAAAGTTGGGAAGCTGAGGATGAGTTGTGGATAGTTCAGGTACTGGAAATCTGAATGGTTGTATCCTGTCCATCTAAAATGGACGTGGAGCCCTGGCTGTCTGCCCTGTGTTCCCGAGCAGCTGTTCGGCAGCTGCTTTGTTACACCTCAGCAGTGGGGGAAAGGGCTCCACTGTCTGTTTATTGCAGAGCAGAAAGAGCCTGGGATAGAATGTCCTGACTACACATCAGATACTGGAGGGATTTTATTCACCATAATGAAGCACATTATTATTAGCTGAGCACTGTGGCTTTCCAGCTGAGAGCTGGAGTGCCTGGCGAGGCGGCATCTCCTCCCCTTCAGCTCCTCTTCCTTCTGAGTTCTGCCGAGGTGGGGAGCATTTTCCCCTAAAATATAGCTGGGATATTTGCATTGTGTTCAACTTCCACTCTCTATATCCTTAAAACTTCAGCTCTAAGTCACTACTGGGCTGTCTTTGTCCTACAGCACTCGAGGCTGGGGTAGATAGGGAGTAGGCTTACCATACAGATAGCGTGTTTGTAGAGCACTTTTCTAAGTGGAGAGCGAAACGCTACATGGACTTGGTGTGTGGATTTGTCTTCAGCATGCACCTGCAGAATGAAAAGGAAGTATTTATTTTTTATTGTTTTTGTATAGTTGATATACAGATGGCTTAAAGTACTATTTATTTATTTATTTATTTATTTTTACCAAGAGGATCATGGAAGCCAGGATAATATGTGAATTTCTCAGTTATCTGTATTTCAAAGGTATAATAGCACCGTGGATGTGTAGGGCCAGGCACACATGTCTCACATGAAGTAACTTATTGACTCTCTTCCCTACAAGCTGGGTTTCACATCCCGATGGACCAAGCCCAGGCAGCCTGCTTTCTATCCATGTCAATGGCCCGTTCCGTGCACATGTCATTTTATGTACATAAGAGTAAAAGTATTGTCTCATGTGTAGAGGGGTTGGGATGACCAGCTTCCACTCTCAGGTGGATCAATATGATACTGGTCAGTGAAAGGATTTGCCCAAATAGCTGAAGAGACAGGGTTCAAATAAACCCAGTGCAGTAGACACTTCTGAGCATGTACTTTTGTTCAATCCACCAGCCAACCAAAAGTTCTTAAGGAAGTACTCGGTGAGCTCACCCTAGTGCTGTTACTTCTGCATTGTTAGCACATAGGAAAGTCTATAAAAGAAAACAACATTAATACAGTGTCTTCAGCCACAAGTGTGTTTCTGCTGTTACTGTGTGGTCAGAGCCTGTGAGTCCTTAGTTATTCAGTTCCTAAAGCCTCATCTGGTCTTTTCCATTACAAAGCTAATACAGTCTTAGCCATTGCTGTGAATTAAGCAATGAATATATGTTTTATTGAATGTCTGCTAAAAATAAGCATAGATGCTAAAAAGAAGCCCAGTGGTTTTCAGAGAAGTGTGTTCAGATTGGAGCCCATGGCCTGGTAGATACTGCATTCAGATGCTGCTTCTGTCTCTTTCTTGCACACTGTGTACCCAGGGAAATGGCTCTTCTCCTCTTTGAACCACAGGTTTCCCAACTATAAAGCAAGGGAATGGAGAAATTTGATTTCTAACTTGACTTGCAAAGCTGATGGCATATTGATCTATAACCTGGGAGTTTTGTTCCTGCAAAGATACTTTCTGAATTGTCTAAGTTATGTTTTGATGCTCTTTAAGATACCCAGGGAACGATGCCTTCTATACTGTACTGAGTACAGTACTGAGTCTTTAGAAGGCCAGCACAGGAGGACTTTTGAAATAAAACTAGAAATAGAAAAGTGGTAAGAAATCTCATGGAAGAATTCTCAAGATTTCAGTTCTGTGATTCGTCTCAAATTGTTCAGCCGTTTCTATATCCCAAAACTGAGTATTTGGAAGTTCTACCTGTTCTAAGAAAATGAGTAAGGCAGAAAGCTTGTGGTGTTGTTTGACTCCCAACTGTGGCTGTTTAACATCTTGGCAAAGGGTGGTGAATTCTGTTGCTTTGCACTCAAATCTGAGATTTTGCCTTTCCCTAGAGTAAAATCATGAGGGGAAAAATATTTAAAAAAATAAAACTAGTAAGAATTTTCTTTCTCTTAACAAAATTGAAATTGTGGCCCAAACTTAGGAGCCACTAGGGATAAAAAGAATTTCTAGTCAGCCCTCACATACATATAGGTACTGGGGGGTTGAACTCAGGCCTCTCATTCCTTTTTAAAATTTTGTATTTTATTGTAAAGATGCTGTACAGAGGGGTTACTTTTACATGAGTAAGGTAATGAGTACTTTTCCTATGGAGCATTCTTACCCCCTCCTTGTTTTTCCCCTACTATCCCTTCCCTCCCACCTCCCAAACTCCTCCCCCAAAGTTGTAAAGTTCATTTTCAACATTCTTGATCAACATTCTTGTTCATGACTGGTGCTATGCCATTTGGACCACACTCCCAACTAGAATTTTGATGCTTAATTGGAGGTATAATCTTTGAATACTTTTCTGTCCAGATTGGCTTCAAACTATGATCCTCCAGAGCTCAGCCTCCTGAGTAGTGAGGATGAGACCGCGTGTGCCCCATATAATGCCAGCATCCAGCTGGTAGTAATTTATTCTATCCATCTGACTTGACAAAGTGTAACAAATGTAGAAGTACAAAGATGAATAAGACATTCTCCTGAGCACAAAGTGACACGAAGGTACTCCGATGGCACCATCTGGTTTCGAGTTTATCTCTCTGGCGTTATTGTTTACGATCTTACTTGTGAATTTAAAATACTCAATTGAGGAAAACATAGCTAGAGAGATTCTTTTTTTAAAAAAAAGGAAAAAAATGCCAGGTGCCAGTGGCTCAAGAGTGTAATCCTCATCCTTCTGTGTTTCCTGCCCTTCCATTGCAGGCCTGCAACGAGTTCACCACCCATGTGATGAACCTCCTTCGAGAGCAGAGCCGGACCAGACCCATCTCCCCGAAGGAGATCGAGAGGATGGTGAGCATCATCCACCGCAAGTTCAGCTCCATCCAGATGCAGCTCAAGCAGAGCACGTGCGAGGCAGTCATGATCCTGCGTTCCCGGTTCCTGGATGCACGGTAAGTACTCTCTATGGGGTGGCCTGGAGAGAATTACTCATCAGGGTTGCAGTACCTGGTCTGACCTTCTCCAGAGGCTCCAGTTTCACCATATGGGATGGATGCTAAGCCAAACAGTTGCTTGAGGACAGACAGTTTGGGGGTCTGAATCACCGTGGTTACTCATGCTGGGTGAGCAACAAGGAAGGCAGCCATTAATAAGGTGGCAGGACATTTCCATTTCATAGCTGGGTACCTCTCATAGCTATGGGCCCACAGTCCTATTAACTCCTGTGCTCCAGTGACACACTCTACAGGAAAGTCTGTTCTGTTCCTTTGAAAGACAGAAGTTTTCCCACACTTCGTATAGGCAGAGAGTACACTCCAATTCAGTAAGCATGTATTAGTTTACTAGGTTCTCTGGCCTAAGTACAAAGATGAGTAATACATATTCCTTGAGTATACATGGGAAAGGAGGTAACCTGATATGAACCCATCTGCTTTCTGTGTTTTTTGTTTTAGTTTTTTAAATCTAGCACAATTGTTTATAGCTTTACTTTGTGAGTTAAAAACATTCAGTTGGGGAAAACATGGATAGAAAAATTCTTTTAAAAAAAAAAAGACAGAGAAAGAAAGAGAGAGAATTGAGTCACTGAAATCAGGAGGCAAATATCAGTAAGATCCAAGCTGGTCCAGGCCAAAAAAGTGGCAAAATCCCATTTCAAATAAATACAGCCAAGCATAATGATTCTTATCTTTAATCCCAGCTATGCCGGAGTTATAGTTAAGACAATTATAGTTCAAAAGGTTAATTCCAAGGAAAAACTCAAGACAGAAAAGAAAGGAAAAAAAATAACTAAAGCAAAAAAGACCAGAGGCATGATACAAGTGGAAGAGTGCCTGCCTAGCAAGTACAAGGTTCTGAATTCGAATCCAGTACCACCAAAGCCAAAATAAAGCAAGAGAACCATGAGAACAAAGAACAAGGGATGAGATTTTTAAAAAATCTCTTTGTGAATACCTTTGATTCTTTTTCAGTCTGCTCTCTAGCCCATATGATGGTGATAGTCATATCTTTCCTTTGGTCTAAAGGAATATTTTGATATTAAAACTAGCAAATACAGTTCAGTGTCAGTATGTCTTCAGACCTACAGTTCATTGAAAATTAGTTACCTTTTATGAATACAGATATCATCTCTCATAATGGCAATTCTTGAAAATAATCCCAACCTATGACTTTTATTATGGCCTGTATATCATTTTATAATCTCCAGTTAGGTCCTTTTTCAGTCATACAGAAAGATCATGGATCCTCTTGGGTTTTTGTTCCTCCCTGAAATCATGTATTATTCAGCTGTCCCTTTCGTCTTTCTCTGTCTTTACAATTGTAGTCTTTACAGTCCTTGGACCTCTTTAAAACTCCCTGGCATCTTCTCCCAACTCTTTTATTCACTTTTGTTCCTGTGTTGCTTGGAATACAAAATGAGAAGGCCAGCTAGCAAAATGTATCTCTGGGTCAATGGAATTCCATAGAGTAAGTCAAGAGAAAGTAAAAATGAAGTCTGTTTTCCCAGATGGATGCGATGGTGATAGAGAGGGAGGAGCAAAGCCACCCTGCAGGAAGACCCTCTGTGCTTCGCCTTCACCCTGCAATCTGGTGCCAGCTTGGCTTCTGTAATTCAGCCCATTCTGCACAGTGTAAAGTGCAAGTGACTGGTAGCCTCTGTCTAGGTCCTTCCTCTGGGCTGTAACCACCACCAGGCTGCTGGTGTTGTTTCATCCCCATGGTAACTCCCTTAGTTAAAATGCTGCCGTTGGTATTTATGTTGGCAGATACTGAAAAAAAAAGAAAGAAAGAAAAGAGAGGGGGAAAAAAAGAAACGTGAGGTTCAGACCATGTGCTTTTCAAGAAGGACATGGGAGAAGAAGGCGGAGCAGAAGCATTGTCTCATTGCATTTCTCTGCAACAGTTTTACTGTGCCCAGTTGAAGGTCACACTGTAAATGACACGAATCCTGGGCAGCTTTGTGTGCAGCTCAGCCTCTGCCTAGATGGGCTCAGTTAGCACCAGAAGGAACAATTGCTCTAAGACAGGGTCTTTTTCTTGCTTTGGTTGGAACCTTTGGATCACTGCATCTGAGCCAAGCATCAAAATGAACCTCTTGCATTGTTATTCTTATTTTATTTTGTCCACATATTTATTATCAGTGAAACACCATCACCCCAATGCCAGCCCAAGGCTAAGCAAAATAAATGTTGGCTTAGACTTCCTAATTGGGGAATTTATATTGCTTTTTCCAATAATTGAGAATGCTAACCAAATCTTAGTAAGAAAGACAAGACAGTTCATGTGTTGCTCTAAACCATGAGGCTGGTAGGAAAGGCCTCATCAAAAAGGGCTTCATGGAAGATAAAGAAAATACAAAGAAGGGCTGGGAAGGTGGCTCCGTGGAAGAATGCTTGCCTTGCATGTCTGAGGCCCTGAGTTCAATTCCTCAGCACCATATAAGCAAAAAGAAAAAAGCAGGAAGTGGTGCTGTGGCTCAAGTGGTAGAGCACTAGCCTTGAGCTAAAGAGCTGAGGGACAGTGCCCCCAGGCCCAGAGTTCAGGCCCCAACACCGGACCCCCCCCCCAAAAAAAGTAATAGGCTTCGTCTTTGTAATCTAATAGATATGTAGAGTTGACTGTCACTACACTGTTGTGGACACCCCTTGTATTAGTTTTCTATTACGGTTTTACAGATTACCACCGATTTAGCAGCTTAAAACAACCTGGGGGGCTGGGAATGTAGTAGAGTGCTTGCCTAGCATGCCTGAAGCCATGGGTTCCATATCTTATTACCTTATAAACAAGAAAAGCCAGAAGTGGCACTGTGGCTCAAGTAGTAGAGTCCTAGCCTTCTGCAAAAGAAGTTCAGGGACAGTGCCTAGGCCCTGAGTTCAAGACACAGGACTGGCAACACACACACACACACACACACACACACACACACACACACACACACACACACACACACACACACACACCTGGGTTTATTATCTTCCAGGTCTTTTTTGTTGTTGGTCAGGTGTTTGGGCACAGCTCAGCAGTGTCTTCTGCTCCTGTTTTGATGAGACTTGTCCACAGAATGATTGTGAGCACAATTTACCTCCTAATGCCTGGGATACAGGGAGCCTAGGTTTTCCAGCTATCTCTCGCCACTTGCCTACTTGTTTTTTTCAAGAAGCCAGCAAGAGGAACACCACATATTAAGACTTTAACCAAATTAACTTTTCTATTTATTTAAACTCAATTAGTACCTAATCATTGGGTGGTAGCCCATCATGTTCACCATCCCAGCCCCCCCTCCCACAGGGAGAATGTACCCACCAGGGAAGGGCACCTTAAAATTCTGCCCACCAAACTTCTAGGGGGCACCACTTGGTCCCAGATTGCCTTACTGTGGGCCCACCCCCATCTCTTTCCCTAATAACAACTTAACTGTGAGAAAAGCTTACTTAGGATGACAAATCATATTTTCATAGTGAAAGAGAAACATTTATAAGCCCTCTGATTTCTGAGTAAAAGTTTTCATGACTTGTTGTCTGTAGCATCTTGTTGTAGATAGCAATCACATCATTAACAGATGGTTAGAATTACACTTGTGCACTTTCCTCCAAAGAAGAAGATAGCAAGGAAGAGGAAAGGACATCCATTAAAGTGGCAGATACTCCCAAAGACTCCCTGTGTTTTTAAAGTGAAGTTGGTTCTATATACAGGAATAAATAAGATAACATAAAAAACAACCTTAGTATGGCGTCTGGTATGTAGTACCCATTCTATAATTCCAGTGTAATGATATAAGACTATTTTACTGTCTAATATTATTTATGTCAGTATTCCATTGTGCAATTATTAGTGGCATGAATAGTAGATCTGTGGTTCAGGAAGATTGCTGAGTGATTCTATTAAAGAGAAGCTGAGTTGGAAAATAGACTATAGGAGACCGTTGTTGAAGATAGTGTTTCAAAGTAGGGCAACAGAGTTGAAGTATGAAATATTTCTGCATCTTACGCAAATAACGAGAGCAAATGACTCTTATTTGAAGCAAACTCTATGGAGTAGACACTAGTGTGCTGCTTGGGCATGATTTCTGGAAAGTTTCAGTCTAGTAGTCTCCTATGTGACTATTTGACTTTAAATTTAACTTAATTAAAGTACCATATTTAAAGCATAACATTTTAAAATGCATTGTATTCATAAACTGTTTTGTTGCATGGGCAACTCTTCTGTACAAGTACTGAGACAGTAAAGATATATATTTTAAAAAATCATTTCTCTAGCTGTATTGGCTACCTTTCAGCTGTATGGTAGTCTCAGGTCATGAGTGACTACTGAGTCCAACGACACAGATACAGAATGTACCCCGTCACAGAAAGCTCTATTGGACACTATGAGTCATATGAGACACACAGGCTCATCCAAATCTGTTTCAAAAATAACAGCTACAGCAAGTATGAAACAAAAAGACTAGATTTGAAAGGACCAAGCTGGTAGGACTTGCTCTGTGGTACAGAATCTGATGCAAAGAAATAAGGGGGGTGGTGATGAAACTGGGAGGAGGCAGTTCTAGATTTCAGCACATGCCAAGCACTCAAATACTTCAGTGAGTAAATGAATGAGTGAATTAGCAACTATGATGAATGGTTCTCTATGATGATGTCATAAAATATATGTGTAACAGGATAGAACTGATTGGGATAAGAGGTAGTAGCTTTGTGACATGTTTTTCTGGAAGGGGTCTGGGGAACGGGATGGTGGCTCTTAGGAGAGGTATTAGAGCAAGAAGCAGATCACTGGTAGTCAGTTTATGTCTAGGATGGCTGTGTTTCTCACTATCATGACCCATAACTCCAAGGTTTTCATCTCTAAAACACCATATGTATCCATATCATTTAATCAGCATCCACATTTCTTCTGGTAAAAACTGAGATATCCAAGTGTCCTTAAAGTATTTGGTTGGCTAGAAATCACAACTGTCCACTCCCCAAGCTGGTGGTTCTTCTAGCCAGAGCAAAGCAACCCAGATGTCTCCAGTTAGTGGGAGAAACCTTATTGTCAGATTTGGATTATTTTCACTGCATTTCCCGGAACTCTGAAAAATCCTGACCTTAGGATTTCGAAGACCCTAGATTCAGACAGCTACGGAAAGAAGATCAGCAAGTCCACCAGGGTAGATGAGGCCACCTCGGGAAGATTGCACATCACGAGAGCTAGGAGAGAGCCAGGAACAGCTGTCTGCACCAGCCCCAGCCCACCAGCTTGTTCCAGAGAGGCTTCCTTTGAGCTCAGTTGGAAGAGTCCCAAAAAATACACTGCAATGCTAATGCAAACAACTGAGTAAAGTATCGGAGGCTCTCCCAATTAGGAAAGCCTTCAGGGCCCAGTTCCCCAGGCCTACGACTGTCTTTAGGCAAAGAAGCAGTAGCCAAAGGTTATCTAAAGATAACCTGGAGACTATATCAGCCACTTGGCTATTTTTCTCAAATTCCCATTGTGCAAAGAGCTCTTTAACACGTGCTCACTTTCTACTTTGGCTTTTTAATCAAGTCTGCCCAATTTCTGATGCTGGATGACCCAGAAACTCAGCATGATTTGGGGAGAATGACTTGGGCTTGGCATAATTTGGACAGATGTGGTTAATACCTGTGGACAGATGGTGTTCATCCGGTAAAATCAGGCACTTTATTGTGTTAATTAATCCAAGTGGGACCCTGAAAATACAATATTAGCTGAATTTCCTGTCTAGCAAAGCCATCCATGCTTTCTCTTGGCTAAGTTGGGAAATTCTGTATCCTGGTATAACCAGAGGTATTCTGGAAATCTTTTCCATGAGGAAACACTTTGGATGAAAGCAACAAAGGGAAAAGTGCTAATAGAGCTCATTTAAAAATGAAGGCCCCACAACTTCAAGGAAGGTCAAGGGGTTCAGCAAGGAACCTAGAGACCCCTAAGCAACTCCCCGCCAGCTATCCATAGTCCTTAGCCGCAAGGAGCAATGAAGTGATTCTCACTTGAAATTAGTTCAATTAGCACTTTTCTCCCCTACAAGCAGGAGAGTGCTTTCATTCAAAAAGTGGTAGTCTTCTTTTTACCAACCTCATATGTATGAAGAATTTCTGTGGGCTTTTGTTTTACCACTTAGCAGCTGTTCTTGCTAAGGAAGTGCCATTCTCTTCTTTTGAGAAAGGTCAAGGCTTCAGGGGGTTAATTCCCCTCACTTTCCTGCCCTCTTCTCCAGAAGTCTTTTTAAAATGTTGCATGCATTTGCATGAGGATTGAATAGAGAGAAAATGATGACTTATTTTTAACTTCTGGCTGCAGAGTCTCTGGGTAATTGCCAACAGCCAGTTTGTGTAGGAGGTAGAGACTTAAGTTTGTAGTCAGGCTGACCTGAAGTTATACCTCTGATACTGCATACCAGCTGAGTGACCTTTGAGCACGTTTCTTCATCCATGAGTAGGAATATCCGTATTTACTACTCTAGTTGTGAAAAGTTAAAAGGTTGGAATTAATAGCTAGGAAGAAAAGGCCTAGAATGTAATGAGAAAACCTCTCACTACTCAGACCTAGTTTTTGCCATGTATCAGATACTGTGCTGAGTTTGGCTTTGTTTCTTCCTTTTTCTCACCTCAAAAGCTCAGTATGCCTTCTAAACTTCCAATTGAAGAAGCTGAGCCTGAGAGAGTTAACATAAATCACTTGGTTAGTATTCAGGTGGCATAGGATTCAACACCAAGTTGACCTGAATGGGGAAACTTCATGCTTTATCATTGTCTGAACATGGCTACCATTCTTCTCTGCAGAGAACACTGAAAAACCAAACAAATGCTTTTTTTGCTTTGGGGATCCAGCCCACTTTTGAAAATCTCTGATTAACCTTTTGATTAAAAATAGGTCCCAGCTGAAATCCTTTTGTAGAACTACTTAAAGATAATAGTAAAATAGTAAGTGTGTCCCCTCTCAGTTGTAGATCCTGTTTTTGCTTTTCACATTTATTTAGTGTGATCTTTTTTTGTTTTCTTCTCTTTCTCTACATGAAGGCGGAAGAGACGGAATTTCAACAAGCAAGCGACAGAAATCCTGAATGAATATTTCTATTCCCATCTCAGCAACCCTTACCCCAGTGAGGAAGCCAAAGAGGAGTTAGCCAAGAAGTGTGGCATCACAGTCTCCCAGGTGAGGAGTCTGCAGTCTCAACCTGTAGCCTGGCCATGTTGGGGCCCCATGGTAGGCTCTTGGAGATCTTGCTTTACTGAACACGTGGGCCTTGCAAATTTCATCAGCTTAAACCTTAAAATGGCAAAGTAAACACGATGTAAATAAGAAAGTTTCCAGGTATGTACCTGGAAGAATATGAAAAGAACCAATAGAAAGACGAGGCCAGGAAGAATACAATGTATAAACAGGGATAGGGCTCATCCCACTGGAATGCTTCCCTCAGAGCCCCATTTGCTTTAAATGGATGAAGTTTCTTAAATACTTGGAAAGCCATCAGTATCTCTCATACTACTTTCTCAAATGAAGCCAATTCCTGAGCTATTTTTTTTTAAGTCAGAAAATAAAAGTTCCTTTAGATGATAGGGACTTGCCTTTAAAAGTGTTTATTGATGTGCTGATTCTATCACTGATTCCCTTTATCACTGATAAAGAGAAGGGATTTTAACATGTCATTGAAGTATTCTCTTGTCCCTAATGTATTAACCCCTAACAGATGCTGATGACTTAGAAAACCACATGATAGGAAGATTTTATAAACCTAGAATCTTCAACATTAAGCAAAACTGTAGGCAATATTTCATGTAGCTACATTTTTTTTTCCTGCTCTAAGAATCCATCCAGACTTCTTATTCATTCTCTCAACCATGGTCTACAGTTTCCAACAGTACTGGTAATTATGAAATCTGTCAGAGAACACTTTCTTTAAAATTGTGTTACTTGGAAGAAAATTAAAACTAAATTGTGGGTCTTCAATAAAAAAGGGAAAGAGTAGGGGAGAAGTCCACCCTGGAGAGAAACTTACTTAATGTTTTTCACTCTTTGGTTGAAATTGAGCTTCCGTACTTCCTTGAGTTGGGTTTTGACTTCTGTTATTCCCCTCCAGAGGCTTATCCTACCAACTTGTGTGTAGCTAAATTAAATTAGGTCTATTCAGAGCATCGGGATCCACCAAAGGTATTTCAAGGAGAAGCTTGCCAGAGTGATTTTTGCAGTAGCAAACATCCTTTGAAATATTCTTTCAGATAAGGCAGAATGTAGTACTCTTCTCTTTAACCCAGACCTTCTGGGTGTGCTTTGACATAGCTGAAAATCATTTCTAGTCTTCACAATTCAGGGAAAACTAAACATGAATGGTCAGACAAAGAACTGAGTTTTTGTTGAGACTGTAACTATTCTTGTCCAAATTTAAACCCCTTGTTTACACACAAACACACACGCGCGTGCGCGCGCACACATTCACACACACACACACACACACACACACACACGGCTCAGCTCATATGGCTTTGAGCATTTCCTTTCTTCCTTGAGAATCTTTCTAAACTACCTTGATCTTTTTCTTCTTTTTTCCAGTTACCTTTGAAAAATCTTCCTACCGTTATTTCTTTCTACCTTTTCCACTTATAAGTAAAAAGCAATGATAATTATGATTGATTTGTGTAAGTAGCACAATTTATATCAACAAAAACACGAACTTCAAAGTATAATTAGATGTGCAGTGGCCCTGAGTTTTACCCAGAAGTGCCCTTTCCCTTCCAGTTTAACTGTTTTTTTTTCTGTATTTATAATAAATAAAGCATTTTTTATTGAAATTTTTTCTGTCTTGTATACTAATATCATAGTGGTACCACTTGATTTTTTTAAAAGAAAACTTGGCATTTCAGCTGTAGCATGAGCCGTACAGACCTTTGAGTGTTACGCTTATAATGTTTTCACTTTGTGATTACATTTAAAAATGTATGTAGTTTCACAAGAATTTTCTTTATCTGCCGCTGTTGAGTGTATAAACTATATATAAGCTGTGGTACAAATGGTGACCAATTCATACTTCCCTTACCAAATTTATATTTTGTTTTATAATTGTATGAAATCTGCAGCAGCATTGTAGTTCAAAATTACATCTGGAATATATGATATTAAATATTCCTTCCCAGTATAAGAATTATGAGGGTAAACTTGAATTTGACTGTTCCCTATTCCTGTCTGGCAGAGGTCTTTATGTAAAGGGAACAGAGATACTGAATTAAGCCAGGACAGCTGCTGTGAGCCACATGAAGGAAATAAATTAACAAATGGAAGTACATTAGGCTTATTGTGTTTATTGGCTTTAACATTTAAAGCCTGGAATTCAAAAGAATAATTAGTTGTGTGCTTGAGTTTTTCCTTATGTAGATAACACCAAGCTTTGCATGAAATACTCCAGGAATTCTATTGGATTCAATTATATTGATGAGAAGGTCTATTATGCTATTCACTAAGAATTTAAGTACATTTTAAATTGGTTTATCTTTAAAAAAAATTGAAATTCATCTATGCATCAAAGCACACATGTGTTGATATAGATTTATATGGTATTTAAAGGTCTGTTTATTTTGATGGTGCAAAACCAGCTTTAGCATTGATAAGAAACAGGCATGTCTCCTGATATGTTTATTTTAGTGACATAAATTAAGATGTAAATAAATTTTAAATGTTGGTTCTAAAGTGAGAGTCCTAGCTTAACTGAACATATCCTCTGTGGGAAAATTTTAATTACTTTAGTTGTGTTTGATTTTTAGTTGTGTTAAATAAAGGCATCTCATTTTATGTATTTGTTCCCTTTGAAGTTCTGGTCTCTTCATCAATCCCACACAAAAAAAATCATGAATAATAAGACCAGTTAGCTTACCTCTCCATCTATCCATAAGCCTTTTTTTGTAGCAATGCTTCTGAAAGATGAAATGGTAACTTTATCCTCTTCTTTTAAACTACCCTAGGTATCAAACTGGTTTGGAAATAAGCGAATCCGGTACAAGAAGAACATAGGTAAATTTCAAGAGGAAGCCAATATTTATGCTGCCAAAACGGCTGTTACTGCCACCAATGTGTCAGCCCATGGAAGCCAAGCTAACTCACCCTCCACTCCCAACTCAGCGGGTTAGTTTCTTCTTTGATTTGAAGGGATTTGCTCTCCATTTTTCTACTTGCTTTTCCTACATTGAGATTTTTCTTTTCGGTTTTGATTGGTTGATTTTTATGTCTAATTATCCTTTTTGTTGTCATTGTCAGTTTGGGGGTTTTCTTCCATATCTGAACAGCAGTGTGTTATAATCTTCATAAGGTTATATTAAGGTTTGCATTGATGCTTTCGTTTACATTGAGATACAAGTATGTTAAGGTGTTTTGATGAGACCCCTGCATTCAGAGGTTCCAAAAAATAAATTAGACTTAGTAAGGACAGTTCCATTAAGTTAAGTTGGCTTGTGTGGTTTTGTTTTGTTTTGTTTTGGTTGGCATTTGATGTTTTTATTTTAATGTGAAATTTTTATCTTGGACTATTTTGCTTTCCTACCAGATAATGCCTGGGCCACTTACTAGTGTGCAATCTGTGCAGGAATTTACTTTTTTTTTTTTTTTTTGCCAGTCCTGGGGCTTGAACTCAGAGCCTTGATACTGTCCCTGAGTTTTTTGCTCAAGGCTAGCACTTGAACCAGAGTTCCACTGTTGGTTGTTTGGTAGCTTAGTTGGAGATAAGAGTCTCATGGACTTTCCTTCCTATGCTGGCTTCAAAGGGTAATCCTCACATTTCAGCCCCTGAGTAGCTAGGAATACAGGCATGAGCCATTGGTGCACTGCAGGAATTCACTGTTAGAGCAAATCACTTATTAGCAAAGTCTGGTCTAAAGAACCAACCTATACTTTTCTTCTGTACATTCTTCATAGTATTAGTCCTTATTGTTTTATTTTGTTCATTTTCCTTATGTAAACCACAAAGAAAATTACCAATCATTAATTCATACTATTCATATTCCAGTTTTCATGTTTTAATATCAGTTGTATGCTTTATCCTTCTTGGTTTGTTTTTGTGGATATTCAGGGTTTAGGCTCACAGAACATATTTTTGAATGTGCTTGGTGCCATCGATTCTGAATATCCACAGTGTAAAAATATCACCTTAGTATTTGTATGTTATGAAAGATGTGTTGGTCCTTTTTTCTTGAAGAAGTGGAGTGTGAGAGTAAAACGAGCTACCTTTTTTAATTATTTGGTATCAGATTATGCATTTCCTCATAATAAGCAAGATAAATTGATTTGGGATGTGCCATGTCCATCTAAGAAAATGGATGATACCAACAAATTAATAATATATCTTAGAACATATAATGTCTTTGACCTCACAGCTTATTTGTTTGCTAAAATACATTCTTGTTCTATCCTGTAGTGGCTTATATTGAAGCCTAGCAGGGCTCTGTACTCTCATACCTTCTGTGAGCCTCTAGTTGCATACATTTTTTTTAGCAAGTTAAGCCACGGGGCTGCACAAACATGATCTTTTTGTGTTAAATAGAATCAGACACAGAGAGTGGCCTGGCCTTAGTAAATATGGATGTGGTAAGACAATCCATTGATCTAGTTTTCTTTTCCCAGGCCTGAAGGTTGGGTTAGTATGAGGAGCATTTTGACTCTCTAAAGTTTTTGTTGTTATTTTCTTCCTTTCCCATCAGAGTAAAGTTGACAAAGGATCAAAGCTAACAGGTTCATTCACCAGAGAATTTTCTTTCTTCCTCATCTGGTCAATTATTAAACATTTCAAGCCAAATACTGCACTGCACGGCAGAGCTTTTCACTTGTCTCTTTGGAAGGAGTATAATTCTGTCAACATTAGCAAAAATGCACTCAACACTCCTGCGAAGGATATCATAATGCAAAACAGATATCAAAATGACTTTTTCCTGTCCCTGATAGGTCTGCATCGCAGATGGCTTAGCATGATTTATGACTAGTCCTTAGAAGAGCCCTGTGGACTCCCTTCATTACTAAATCCGCAACTATTTATTCTTTCCTAAAGCCCTTAAAAAAGAGAAAAGTAAGCATTTTAACCCCCTACTCTGCATTTAAGAATTATGTTGGCTCTTGTAGAATGTCAGTCCATGATTACAATATTCTAAGGAATTTTTCTGGTGGCTTAAGCTTCGTATGAGCATAAAGTAAATTATTATGGAAAATTTGAGCTAAGTTTTCTAGTCTTGCCTAAGTTGTTGGAAATACTATGCATAGGAACTTCTCTGTGGTACTTTTTCTAAAGGAGAAACCAGAGAAACTACTATCATACCATAGACTCCTTAAAGATAAATGTCTTAACAGGGAGTTATAAATGGGCTCTTCTGTATTTTCTTCTGCTTTACACATAATCCAAATCATTGCACAGATAGGAGTGATAAAGATTTAAAGTCTTACATAGAGTATTTATTACATGTGAAGGAAATAGGATAATTAATATATGAAATATGTCTTGGTAGAGTTTGAAGTCCAAAGCTCGAGAAACTCAGACTTTTTTGTTCTGTTAATGTTGAAGCAGCAGGTTTGTTGTTTGGCTTTGCTATTGTTTTGTTTTTCTCCAGAAGCTTTACTTACTGTAAATTCTCTCCAGTAGACTGGAGTTAACTTTACAAGTAAATCCTCTTCCTCCATTGGCTTCTTAAGGGGAACAGCATTTCTCTGTCTTTTCTTAGGGCACTTCTCAGCCTTACTCCCTCTCCTTAACCAGGCTTCATTTCAAAAAAAATCACATAGAACTAGGCCCTGTGGAGGGATTAGCAAACATTTGGAGACATTTTACTTGCTTTAGATTTTTCATCAACATAGTGGGCAAAGTCATGGAGCCCAAAGGAAGTCTAGAAGGAAGACACAAGAACTAGTCAAAAAATAAGTAAAAAAAAAAAAAATAAGGGAAAAATAAAGGAAAAAAATAAGGTTGAAGCAGCCTTAAAAGTCATGGGCCCATAATTCACTGAAGAAACCTGAATTCTCAATTTTCTTTTTTTGCTGAGATCATGAATGCATGAATTAAAGCCTTAAAAAGTACAGAAGCAAGAGGGTGATCTAACTAAGCTTACATGGTAAGATAGAGGATCGAAAAAATAAAAAAGCAAGAGGATCTCCCCTGCATGTCTCCAAATGGGTAGGAGTCCAGTGATATCAAACTGATTGCTTCATCATTCTGAAACTTTGCTCTCTAAACTACAGAAATTGGGGCAAATATTTACTATGTGACTACTTCATAGAATTTACATACTTCTTGATGAGAAATAAATAAGCCAATACTTTGAAACACTTGTGTTTCTTAATAGAAAAGGATAAATCTGTTATTATCCTAGGTTATTGGTTTTCAATGAGGGGAGAATTTGGACCCCAACAGAATCCTGGTCATCTCTGAAGTTGGTTTCACGTACTAAAGTTTTGAGGAGAGGGTTTTGCTAGAATTTGTGGATAGAGACAAGCAGGTGGCTAAATACCATACAATGCACATGATGTTCCCCCCCAAGGAAGAATTATCTAGCCTAAAGTGTCAATAGCATTCACTTAGGTTATATCATTATTCTCTATTTTTAGAGTATGGAGTTAATTGGTTTTGTGTATATGTGGTTTGTTTTTTGATATTTGTTGTTTTGTTGGTTTGTTTTTCCTTTCTGATATTTGTGGGGGTTTTGTTTTTTTCTTTTTATGTGCTTTTTTTCCTGAACAAACTTAATTCTCCAAAGATTCTTCGGAGTAGAAACACAATACCTAGGAAATTTCACAGAACATGGATGTTAACAGGCCTCCATATGGTAATCAAAGATGATCCATTATTTCTTCTCTATTCAATGGGTGTAGATAGGACTCTGCCCCAAATATCAAAGCAGCAGTTTAAAATAAGCCAATTCCTAAGCCAAATTCAGAACCCTCCAACCGACAAGCACATCTTGAAATGTGCTTCTAACCATTGCTGACTACTTCTACTCCATGAAACAGGGGCTGTGTGCAGGTAAGGTTCCTGAATGCATCCACTCTTTGGGAATTCCACAACATCTCTGATACAGCCCATTCACTTTCTCCCTAGGAACTCTGTAGTTAACAGGAGGCTATGCATTTATTCCAGGATAAGTTCTTTCCAATCTCCTGTGCTAGATGAAAAACTCTTTTTTTAGGTTTAAGTGTGGATTTCTATCGGCTTTTATTGTGGTATTGTTATTATTATTATATCTGCCTTATTGTGGTATTAGTGGAACCTGGTCTCTTCTTTCAGCACCATCACTGCCTCTAGTTATTTATCAGAGTCAGAAGCCATGACAATGTGGAACATGGGTGCAGAGACAATGAAATGCTGAAACAGCACAGCCAAGTGCACAAGGGACAATTTCTGCAATTACTGCTCTGATACAAATGCATTTGTACATGAAGTACGTTTATATGCGCATATTTATCTCTGTGTACATTAGGCAGTCAGACATATTTACAATTTATCTATGCACATATATTTTTTAAATCATCTGTGTCAATTGCTGTGTGTATCTTGTAAATGGCACATTCCATATCTTCATGGCTCCATGGAGGCCATGCCACTCAGCTTCAGTGTGGCTCCCTTTGGGGGCTTCTCCCATTGCTCAGGTGTTGTATTGATTTCCAATAAGCCACTGGGCAAGAATACAGCATATGTGTCTGTTATGTGGTATTTGAGTGGGAGGGAAATAAAATACTTGGCCTTCAAACTCAACCCACTCAGGGATGAGATACTCAGGATGCTTGATGACATACAGATAGTTAAGATTTGGATTCTTTGGTTGTGATGACATCTAAATGTGAGCATGTATGTGACACTTACTGCATTGGCTTTTATTATTTGGGTCCTGTTTCTGTGATTACAAATCGAATTTGAGGGGAATAGAAGTCATGTGAAGGTCTGGAATATATATTATATATATATATACATTGTGTGTATATATGTGTGTGTATATATATGTGTATATATACATACATACAAACACTTCATCTGTAGGTTGGTGAGAATGCTCTCAAAGATTCAATATTACTGGAAGAAAATTCTAGGCCAGAGCTTTCATCTTATTGACTTAGTCTGCACCTGCCCAGATCTTCTGCTTGTTTTGCTAAGACTCAACTTTGGTAATTCCTTTCAGATAAGCTAAGCAGAGAAGTATGTGCCAGGTTAATGTTAAGGTTCAAACTATTATTCTGAATCAAGCATTTATTTTGCCCTGGGAAAGCAGGAATGAAACAACATGAGACAATGAAATCCTTTTCCTAAATCAGTTGTTATAGTAATCAGTTGATATAGTAATAAAGCTAGTTAGACTTCTCCACGTATGTATACAAAATCCCACAGACCAAAGAAAACTGGAGATGTTTCTTAACTTGGGGTTGTCCTCAAGTTTGTTAACTATCTGGTTTCTCTAAAGGCTCCTGCTTTTGAGGTATGATTCTATCCTGGGCAGTTACACATAGAGCATAGTGGCAGAGTATGGCATGCATTGCTTGGTAAGCGCTCCTTCTGTGGGGGAAAGCAAAGGCCTTCTCCTCTGCTTAACCGCAGCTCTCCACGAGAACAGGGCAGATGTCTAAGAGAGCCCAAATCCCTGTCTTGGGAGAGGAGAAAGCAGGTGTCAGAGCTGAGGCATGAATCATTATTGGGCAATTCCACACTGGTGATGGCTGTTTCAGAATACAAGAGCAAGAGGGCAATTGAAGCAATCTACTAGTAGAAATCACAGAGTACAACTGACCTGGGTCCCTGAGGTCTCTCCTTTTCCAGGCTAACGTCATGTTTTAACCAAACCTTGCACGTTGAGCTTTCTTTCCTAATGCACTGAGCTGCACGATGACTTCAGAGTAATATTAAGCTTTTGCAAGCCTTTGTGTTTAGATTGAGCTTGAGCACATGTTACTACAGCAGAGCCCATGGAAGCTGGGTGGTGCCAAGAATAGATCTAAAGGCTAACTCTCTAGATGAACTTTTCATCTCTAGAAGGTGAAAGCCAGTAGTTATCTGCCCCTTCTGAAGGCCCACTTGCAAAATGATTATGATTATCAGCAGCATTTCATATATCATGCATGCTTGAGAATTCCTGGCCCATTATTCTACTTTATGCTTCTCCATCCTGGCAGGGAGCGGGGAGCAGTAGATCATTCCTACATGTTCTTATAGTCTGAGTGTTTTCCTGGGCTATTTGCCACCCAGAAGAAACTTTATCTTCTTTCTGGAAATCAGAAGTAGTATGACATTGCCTTTATGCCCTATCCTCTCATGCACTGCTCCCATGTGAGTGGATGGGTTCAGCAATAGCATGGTTAGAATCCAGTTGAGTAGCTCAAATGCTCCACTATGCTGACAGAAGTATCATTGGCCAGCCCATACTCTCCATCTTGTGGCCCTCTGGGAAACACTAATGTTTTAGAGACATCAGAGATCCTAAATGGACTAAGTTGAAAAGGATACAGATTTTCTTTCTCAGCTTGAAGCTGCTAAGAGAAAGTCTTATCAACAACGTATTAAGGTGTAGCTTGCACCCTTTGTTGCTTGCTCTGTTCTTCATGCTACTAACCAGACTCTGGATGTTGTTTTTGTTTTTACTTTTGATTTGGGGGATTGCTTTGCATGTCATTTCTCCTCTTGGCTGTTAGTTTCGGGTTGAGCTTTTTCCTTTCTGTGATTCAGGTGCCTCACTCTTTCCTTTCCAGGTTCTTCCAGTTCTTTTAACATGTCAAACTCTGGAGATTTGTTCATGAGCGTGCAGTCACTCAATGGGGATTCTTACCAAGGGGCCCAGGTTGGAGCCAACGTGCAATCACAGGTAGGGACCCAGCCAATATGCCATCAAGTGAATGCCTTAAGAGTTCAAGAGCCCTCAATCGTATTGGCTTTCTGCTCCTGTGCAGAAAGAGAGACAGAGACAGAGACAAAAAGAAAGAAAACAAGAGGAGAGAGGCATAGAGACAGCGATAGAACAACCAGAGTAGACCAAAACAAAGGCAGCTATGATCCTAGCAATCATGTCCATCATTTATTAATGCATTTGGCTCTGGCTTGTCAATCATGCTAGGAGGGTAGGAGAGGATCAGCAAATTCAGGGTGAGGTGACCTAGGTATCTCAAGCAAGCAAAACCAATGTGTACTTTATTCAGTAAAGGGAAAAGGAGGAGGAGTTCAATCCATTGTCTCCATTTTCAGGTCTCCCTTTCATTTGTGGTTTTCCATACTCAGTAGTTGCCAAAATAAAGAAATAATTTATAAGTAGGCCAATGTGTTGATATTTCTTGTTTTTATTTTGTTTTAAAACTATTGAGCCAGGTTGATTAAATATATCTTCTTAGTCATTATTGAGGTCATTATTTGGTTTCTGGTGATAAATGTAAGTCCATGTTGGGAAGCAAAAATCAAGTGATGTGTAAAAAATCTCAGTGCTCCTTGATAAATGGGTCACTTTCATGACTCGTCAGGAAGCCTTCCTACTATCTCCACATGAAGTGTGACATGAGAGAGTAAAGTCGTATGCTCTGGGTCAGAATTAGTAAGGAAGTCCATTTCCATGTCAATCCAATTTCCCACTCTGCATATGGAACAGAAAGCATCCCATGGCTAGAACAGACAACCAGTGATTCAGCATCTTTCTCAAGAGACATGGCCTGGGAATAAGTTTGAGGTAATACAGCCAGACTTCGGTCAAGAGACTAAACAATTGAACATTATTTAAGTATTCAATAAAGAGGGTTTTAATGACATTCTCTTCTCCCTGAGAGATGGCAGCTAAAGGTCCCCTACATGAACTTTTCCTGTTGTAGAAAACGCAACTAAAGAAAGGCTGTTTGGAATGATCTATAGGGAAGAAAAGTGGGGAGAAGGGAACTTTTAAAAACCTCTTTTCTTTAAATCCCTCAGCCACACAGCCTTCTCATGCAGCATTGTGGAATCACAAATCCCAGTTCTTTCACTGTTTTACTGTCTTGCTTACTGAAGTCAGGACTGAGAAGGTGTTTGGCATTAGGAAGAGTCAGCCTCCATCTAATGGAAGACTACTACCCAAATGGTTGCATTAATTTGGCCTTTCCCAATGGTAGTCCCTAAGATGATGTTGACCTGCCTCCCTTCCCCTGTATCTCTCTGACTCATCTCTTCTTTGTTGTTGTTCCTCCGTTTAGGTGGATACCCTTCGCCATGTTATCAGCCAGACAGGAGGATACAGTGACGGACTCGCAGCCAGTCAGATGTACAGTCCGCAGGGCATCAGTGTAAGAAAATAAGGCTTTCCCCCACCCTTCATTTGTATTCTATCACTACCAATTATTTCAAAGCCATGGGGCCCAGAATGCCACTTAGTAGAACTTGTCTTAGCTTTACGGTCACCTAGTTTCTTGTTTCTGTATCGGTTATGCCATCGGCAGCATCCTACCCACAACAAAAGTGGTGATTGGGCAGGCTTCATGCAGGCAGCTGGCGTCTAGGGCTGTCAGACGCAATCAGTGTTTGCATGGCACCTGCGGCCACATGCATTCAGCTGAGAGGAGCTGCTAAACAGGTGACACCTAGTACAACAGTGGTAGGAAATGTCACCACACTCTGGGGCCATGGATCCTGGGAAAGAAAACCTGTGGTCAAGATCCATGGCATCTAGGTCTGGGGCTTGGAAAGAAAAAGATCTCTTTCCAATCTGTCAATAGGCAATTTTTCTTTTAAAAAAATTGACACAGAGGCTGAGTATGTGGAAGGGCTGGGGAGGGGTTGAGACCATCTTCTTCTTGTTCTTGGGTGCGCTTGCGGCTTCTGACTAGCATGAAAATTCATAGCGACAAGCTATGTCGCATAGAGTGAAATCGATCAGACAGACACAAGGAGAACCGAGTGTAGATTTGGGACAGCAATCCAACTTGATTTCTCAGATCAATCGTGTGCTATCTCAGCAGTGGTGACAGCAAGCTGGGACAAGAGGGCAGCCTGGAAAAGGAGGCTGTTCTTTAGATCAGGGGTGATTTCCTGGGCTTTTAGAGGCCACATGAGGCTCCAGTAGAGGTATTGGTTCAGAGAATAATGGTTGGGTAGTGGGAATCATTTTTACTGTTCATTGCTGTTGTTTTAAGGTAAATTAAGGATGGAGGGGAGGGCAAGATACACATGATTTATTAATGTGATTCTTGTCTATGCTGAATGGAGGTACCATGGCCCTTTCAATTCAGCATGTATCAGATCATTTTTGGTTATGACCAGTCTGAAGGGAATCAAGAGAATACCAATTGCTTTATCAGATCAGGAAGGTTGTTGTTGTTGTTTAAAAAAATAAAGCATTTTTCCCCATAAAAGAGAAGGTGTGGGGACTTAGCTACACTTTGAACATGCTACCTTCTGAGAGAAGAATTAGGCTTCTCTCAAATTATCTAAAAGACAGAGCGGGGGAAAACTCTGAGTGGATGATTCAGAGAAATGGATTGCACTTCAACATTCATTCCATCTCTGTCTCATAGTCAGAGCTCTCAAAAAATAAAAATAAAAACTGTTGTCTGCCTTTGGAACTCAAGAATTCTCCATCATAAGAGAGCAAGCATGGTTTGGCTGGTGACTTGATAAGAGAACTGGAGAAGGAAGACAGTCATCAAACTATGATTGCATTGGTGACCTAAAAAATACTATTACTTAGCTGCACAAAGAGGTGACAAGTCCATAAGTCAGGTTATAAGTACAATGCATCTTGTACTTTCCCATCATTGTTCTGTCCCACTATGCCCTCTCCCTAAAAAATATTGGTGACTTTTTTTTTTTTTTTGGTCGGCCGTGGGGCTTGAACTCTGGGCCTGGGCGCTGTCCCTCAACTCTTCAGCTCAAGGCAAGCGCTCTACCACTTGAGCTACAGCGTCACTTCCGGTTTTCTGGTGGTTTATTTGAGATAGGAGTCTCACGGTCGCTCCTGCCCGGGCTGGCTTTGAACCGCGATCCTCAGATCTCAGCCTCCTGAGTAGCTAGGATTACAGGCGTGAGCCACCAGCGCCCGGCAATATTGGTGACTTTTAAGACCACTTACATTAGGAATTCTTTCTATTCTACATTCTTCAGACCTTCTAAGCTATTATCACATATATCAAGTCTCTCTCTAGGGACAGAAGATGTCAGAGCTAGTCCTGTGAAACATACTGTGGGCAGTTGTGACACTTTCTAGGAACTGGAGGGGGAGAGATTCCATCTTGTCCTTTGCTAACAATACTAATTGTTATTACTGTAAGAATGGCTGAATTGCTGGTAAGCCTGATTAGTAAAATACCAGGTACTATGGTGGAGAGGTATTTTTCCTCAACATGAATTTCAAGTGAATGAGGTAGCTTTGTCTTTGTGTGTAGCATTGAATTCACACATGCATTTGTATATTCCCTGAATGGTACTGAGATACAAGATAAACTTTTCCAAAGAAAGCCTCATTCTGCATAAGTGGAAGAGAGAAACATAAGGAAAGTACAAGCATGTGGGGACATGAATAGAGGCATCCTGAAAAACACAACTGAAGAAAGCCCGTGTGACTGGGCAGGAAGTGAGTCTGACAGCTATGCTATTTGGCATCTTTCTTTCTTAACTGGGCAATGAAGAAAAGTGCAGCTCTCAGACTCTGGGGGGTCAGATTGACCCTTCTGATGTCATCTGGTGGGCTGGGAATCATTTCTGAAATAGTGTAACCAAACATGTGCAGACCATTATGTCTGATTACATAAGCCCACCGCCAGAAGTGGGCTCGAAAATGCCACTTGAAAGAGTTTCTCATTTTGCATTAATTTTTTTGCTCTTGCTGTGAAGTGCAGTTATTTTATTTCTGGGTCTTTAATAAGCAAGCTAAATGAATCAAAGACTGATCATGATAGGATATGTTCCTTTGGTATCAGTTTTAAATTGTACCACCTTCGGGAGACTAATCTAATTATCATGAGATATATTTTTAGTTGATCGTATTAGGTGCTGACATACATATACACACTGACTAAGGCTATGGTTGCTAAGAGAAAGGGGCGGGAGGAGGAAGAGAAAGGATAGGAGACGAGAAGAAACAAGGACAGGAATGGAAAGTCTGAGCCAAGAAATAAAAATAAACAGTCCCTAAATCCAAAGCAGCAATGGAATTCCCAGCTGGGTTCTGGATTGTGTTTCATTTGGTGGAGGACATTTTCTGGGCAGCCTTCATCCATTCCCCTGGCTGGGTTTCCACAATACCCATATCATATCCAACTAATGTCAATTTTAAGTCCCATAAAGTGCAGACCATTTGTCTTTAAGTGAGCACCTAGGAGTAGGGTTGCAGGGAGTAGTAGTGTGAGTCCTACGGGGGGATTCAGGAGATGCCTGTCCTAGAAACTCAGGTACCCATAGGCAAGCATCAATCTCTCTTTTCCTGGTAATTCTTACCCCTTAAAGGGTGCTTTAGGGAAAATGAGAAATAAAGTAGAAAGGGCTTGGCAAAGCATAATTTGTTCCACATGAGTGCAGTATGAAATGTTATAAGTGATAACTTTCTAATTTGACCTTTCTCTCCTCTTCTATAAGCAGTTTTCACAGTAGGTAGTTCCTAGTGAGGATAGATTAGGTCACCATTGCCACTTTTTTTTCCTCTTGTGATGCAAAAGCAAGCCTTTGAGATGGATATTGAATTTTGCAAGGCCTAAAGACCCCTTTCCTTAGCCACTGTGAGTTTTTATTATACCTCCTTAAGAACTTTATATTCTTATATGACAACAGGCAATTCTTACTGGGTTTAGCTTTGTTCTCAGCAATGCAGGGAGATTATTCCTCTTCTTGTCAATCAGGCCTACTTAAAGATTGCTTAGCTATCAGTCTTGCTTGCCATTGCCCCTGCCACCATCCTATTTCTAGAAATAGTTTATTAACTAGACTTTCGCAGCAGCTTTCTATCACTAGTTGCTGTCTTTAGGTTTTCTTCTCTCTAGCACACATCACTTAAATTTTCTCATTCCTTGCTCAGAAATCACCTGTGGTCCTTACTACATACCTAAACAAGCTCAAATCTCATGCCCATTGCCTGGCTCTTTTGTCCACCCACCTTCAAAGTAAATACCCAATGCCAGTCAATGTGATTTGGCCACACACACTCTCTCTCTCTCTCCTCATTATATTCATTTATGTATGCCATCCACACCAAGCATCTTTCTTAACCCTTCTTTCCTTTTTTCTTCCTCCTGCTCTATCTCTACCTGTCTCTGTGTCTCTGTCATTGTACCTGTGTCTATGCTATAACACACACTTTCCTTTCCTTACTACACATAAGCATACTTAATTGTCCTTGTATCTTTCACTTTTACATAGTATGTATGATCATAAATAGATTAGAGGCCTACAATATTTTTGAATGAACACATCAATAGGAGGAGATATTGAAGAACTAAAACTTATTTTAATAACCACTAGAGACACCAAGTATATCAACTATGTGGTGTCTACTAGTAACTATTATTTTAAATGTTTTCCTCATTCATAAATACACTGTCTTTTTAAATCCAAAACACCTTTAAAAAAAAAAAAAAGAGGCAGAGGCAGGAGAATGGAATGTTCTAGGTCTTCCCCAGAAAAAGAAAAGGCTCATCAAAGTTTTTGACTAATGGATTTTTCCTGTAAAAATAACATTCAGATCAACATTAAACATAGGAAGTTATATAGTGATACTAGAGAAAAATGACCCTTTGATTTCCTTAGGTCTTCCTATCCTAAAATAGTCCCTGTCATCTTTTTCTGAGAGACTCTCTGTACAAGCATCCTTTTTTTTTTTGAGGGGGTGGGGGAGAGGAGAGGAAGCCATTGTTTCTGGTGGACTTTTCTTATCCTCCCTCCTAGCTGTGGGACTAGAGATTCCAAGGACAAGCTGGAGGGAACTGGAAACAAATTGAAAGGAAGAAACTTGCATCCTTCTGTGGCTTTTCTTGTGGGGACTCATCTTGCCTTTCTCGGTATTGCTTCTTTTAAGAAATACTTGAGAGACCCTTCAACTGAGGATTCTCCAGGTCTACAAGAATGACCATTGCTTCTCACTGTTAGCACAAGAGACAGCAGACTAACCTTCTAGCCTAGTCTACTGCCTCCTTTCAAATCGCATTCTGAAGACCTAAACAGAAGAAGCAGGAGCTCTCACTCCAAGAATGCTTCTTTTTGCTTAGAGATTTGTCATAGATAAGAGCATTACCCTCTAGGATCAGATGATTTATTTTAAGTTGTAAAATGTGAGTTAATGGAATGAATTAGCTGCATCAGT